CATAGACCACCGCAATTAATATGCTCATTATATTTTCAGCTATAGGCCCAATAAAGTACATTGAGTTTCAGTTTGGCATTCTTTTACTTATTTGTTAATATGTTTAGTTTTCCTAATCTTGGTAAATCTCTAATAATACTATAACTCAAAATAATATTTTTATGTAGGTTTCGAAATGAACAACTTCCCTCGAAGAATCAGGGGGAAAAAACCTGTATTGGATTATTTGCTTATCTTATTCCCTCTGGTGGAGGATCTAAGTAATATGAGGCTTTTTTTCAGAAGTCCAAGATGGCTGTATGGACCTTCAGAGTGGTTTCCTGTTGCTTGGAGCCCTTAAAGAATGATTATAAAAGTTAAAAAACCTGATGGTTCTTAAAAACTCATGAATCTGTTGTGATGCTTGAGATATTCTGGTTAATATTTTATATATTAGTGTTTGTCTTTAACCCTTAAGTCAAAGGGCAATACATTCATTTATACTTTAGAATTCACTAGAAAAAAGTACAATATGGCCTTTATGTTTACTCTGATGCGGTATATTCCTTAATGTGAAGATGTAGCCAGTAATGTGTAGATAGATATAATACAGCTGTCTATTTAAAGTGTAGAGCTTTCCTCTATATGACAACAGCATAATGAAACTTCTGGAACTGGGTTAACAATCTCCATTATGGGGCCCATTTAAAAAGCTTCTGAAGACGGCCCTAATTGTTTGATCTCCATCATTAAACAATAATTTTGCTCCTTTTTATATGGACATTAAAGTAATTTTTCAAAGTTTTGACTGAAGCAATTACAAAAATGCACAACAGAGGGCTATAATGTTTAAACTAATTAAATAATATAGTCCATTTCTAAATGGATCACATCATTAATAATTTCCTCATGTTCACAATTAAATGTAGAGTCATTGTTCCATTTGGAATGGGTTTAACCTCTAATAATAATAAAGATTGAAACAAAAAAGTTGTGACTTTTTATAAAATCTACATTATAATTCCACAAAAAGCAAGTTCAGTTTAAGATTTGGGTAAAAGGTTTTTAAATATTTGTTTATTGGACAATATATTTTTGTTACTTTTAGGGGAATTTCTTTCATTTTGTCTTCAAATCAAGCTGAAGTCAATGACTTCTCTGTGTAGTCACGCCATTCATTCCTCTTTAAATCCAGTCCTCCCTGTTTGACCACCTTTCCTCCTTTACAAACATTTCACCCTTTCTCCATTTTTTTAAAGCCTCCTTCTCAGGTTTAACACTCAGCTAAGGCTTGGTAAACACTTTATCCTGATATTGTGTCCTAAAACAGCTATATTTAGTTGAAACTCTAGTTTTAATGGTTGGAATTTTTAACCAGTATGTCATACTTCAAGCTACAGTGAAATTACACCCGATTATAAGTAAGAAACATGACATTGAGCTGAGGATCAGTAACAGAACGACCTGTGGAGCAGCTCCCTGGGTGTTAACTTCCCCCAGACTCTGTTTTTGAAACAGGCCGAGCCTCTGCTCTGCTGGGGGACACTCCTATCAATGTTTTATTTGCCTTTGAAGCACATGCAGAGAGGAGGAGCTGTGGCGTGTAAGCTACAGTAAGACCAGTCTCTGGAAATGAGTAGAAACTGATCAAATATACACTGTGGTTTTAAACTTTTAAACACATTATAGTCAAAATGAAAAAAACAATTAGAACCAGGAGCTTTTCAATATTTTTGACTGTTGTGTAATCAAAGATATAGTTTGTAAAAGTATTTGAAACCTGTTGCACTAGTGGATTAGGAAATTTTGTCTGCCTGCCACTTTTACCTGGTTTCAGGTAGTTGAACATAATTAGAGCTTCCGCTTATTTTGTGTAGGATAACAAAAGCCTGTTGATACTGTCCACAGCTAATGCTTTACTGCTTATACCTCTTCTAAGTACTTCTGCTGTTATTGTCTGTAACTCATGTTTTTCCCGTGACCAAATCTCAGCAACATTGTGTTAGTTGTTGATGGCATTTTCAGTGATTATAGATGATATTTCTCTGCGTATTTTGGTTTATTCAAATTTCCAATAGAGCCCAGTTTCTGAAATGGAGAGCTTTTGTTGTATATGCTTAAAATTAACCATTAACCCAAATACTTTGGTTGCGACTACCAGATTGATCTTAATTTTACCCTAAACATAAACTTGTATTGATGTCTTCATTTGTAAATACTTTTGGAAAAAGGTTTGCCTAGTTGTATGTTAATCTAAAGTCTAGATAATGATAATGAAAAGTGGAAAATACTTCCTGAGGAAGTGTTTTATACCACAAATAACTCTATGCATTCGCACCTTGATTCCATTTTGAGTCTTCTTTTCTAAAATAAATCCGATCCTGTGAAAAAGTGTTTGTACTGCTTAAATGTCTAACTGTTTAGTCTTTTTCTACATTTTTATCACATTACAATAATAAATAAAGCTCTCAGAACTCTAACTTTCTGCTAGTGCAGAATGATTGGACCACAAATCAAAATAGCAAATATTTCCAACCATGTGATTGTGATTTTAGTTAGATTGTCCTTTGCACTAAATACTTGCATGTAGATGTTTCAGTGTCTTTTAATGACCATTCATGCCTTCTTGTTCAGAGTCAATTGTTGCAGGACTTTACTCTAACTTTTGTGTGAAAGGGTATTACTTTATTTGCATTTCTGGATTTGCAATCAATTGCCCTGGTGTCTACCTGTGTGAAATGTTACATTTTGAATACACTGTTCTGTGAAGGTCTCAGAAGACCTTTAGGCATCAATGAGCTGAAAGCACCACAAAGGTCACAGGCCATGTAAGGATCACACTAAACATGTATACCACCCTGATCAATTAATGTTGAACTATCTGAACTACATATAAAGCACTATAAGTAGCAGAATACGAAACATTTTGCATCTCTTTAAACCCAACTTCTCCACAATGAAACACACTGTTGGCTGTGTCATGTTATGTTGCACTGAGAAAAATTGAGCTTAATTAATTCAAAGTCTTCATGCAAGGGTGGCAGATCACCTTTCCAGCAGGATGCTAACTCTCGATACCAGAGCTACAACTGAAGGAATTAGATCAAAGTGTTGTCTGAGCTATTTTGCAGCCAGGAATAGGTTACATCTGTAAATGTGTGGAACTGATAGACGGACCATAGAAGACTTCTTATAGAAAGATGGTTCTGCTAAGTTTTGAATCATAAAGTCTGAATACCAATGTGCACTAAACTATTAAACTATACATTACAGATCCATCTCAAATCCATTTGAGGTCTGTCACATGAAATCCTGAAAAAAAACAAACATGCAGTAAGGCTCTAGTTGAAATATTCATGGTATGTTATAATATTTTCACAAGCCTTTCTATGTTTCAGGCCCCTTTTTGTTCATGTATCGTGTAATCTTGATTCTTGAATGCCGTTTGCAACACAGTTATGGATCCTGCTGGTTGTATTGCTTTTTGTCAGCCCTTAAAAAATCCTTTAGTCTCACTCCTTATACAAAACATCTGAATAACAAGTCTGTCATTTGACTAAATATGGTGAAGAAAGGATCTGCATGTAAGTTGTGGCATAGCAGATTTCAAGGACCTCACCTGGGTACCCACTAGCCTGGGTGCCGTTCTGAACTTAGTCCCGCCCACAAGGTTTGAGGTCGGGAAGTTCGGTCTGGCTCTGCTCCATAGTAGCGC